TTTTTTTTTTGCTAATTATCCAGTTTTTTCATTCATTTTTCCACATTTTTAATATTGTTTAATCCGTTATAATTTCGCAAAATGAAAATGATTATTGATAATAATGATAGAAATTTTTGTAAAAATTTCTACTTTCTTTATTGTTTAACAGTTTATATGTTTAAAAACAAAATGTCATCATTACAACTTTTGCATTAGTAATATAATATATGTCATATAAATGTCAATATCGTTTGATCAATTTGAATAGCTTTTTTTTTTGAACTTTTCTCCTCTTCTTCGTCATCTTTTTCCTTCTCATTCGTATTCTTTTAATTTAATTTTTGTTTGAGGATGTGTTTTGAGGATTTTTTATTTGTTGGCTGCAAAATTTAATAAATATCTTACACCTGATTATGTGAGAAAAAAAAAAGATATGATTGAAAATTTTTAACAGTAAAAGAAAAAAAAATTAAGTAGAAAATTGGAAAGATTTGTTGGAATATGTTCGATATGGGATTCTTTCTTTTTTTTTTTTTAATTTAACAAATTTTGAATTGATTGATTTTCATAAAAATCAACTGGAAGTTTGATGAAAAATATAGTCGTATTTTGGTTATTTCTAAATAAAAGTTAGGAATATGGAAAATGAAAATGGTTTCGAATTGTGTATGCCAAATTTAAATGTCGGTGTAATGTAATTTTCTCTTTTATTTTTTTTCCTTTTTTTCCTTTTTTTTTTTTTTTTTTTTTGGAAAATAAGTGGATATTGCTGGATAACAGCTTTTGCTGCACTCAATGACAAATAATTTATTTCCCACATCTTTTCCTTTCCATTTCCTTTTTAGGTGAATTTTTGGGAAAAAAAAAGGTTTTGCAACATCGACGATATCAAATTTTCTTTAAAATTGAATCGATTTGCTTAGTTTCCTTTTCATTTTCTTTTGTATCAAATTTATCGGAATATTATTATTTAACAAATGGAGTATTAGTTATATTGCAACTTTTTAGCATATAAATGTTATTAAGTTAATCAATTTAATAATTCCTTTAGTTTATTGTTGCCGCTATTGATTTGCATCTAGTGAGAATATTTCTCGAAAAAATTTCATAGGATCTTGAACACTTTATTAAGAAGTATTTTTACCAGTTACAAATGAATGAGTAAAAGCAAATTTAATCCTTTCTCAGATTTGCCTTCTTTCTTTTTAATTTGATTATTAAAATTATAATGGTTCGAAATTTTCTAGGATGATGTCAATTAGTTGAAATTTTTAACAATTAGTAATATTTCATTTAATCTTGAAAAAGATGAACATTACTGTAAAGGAAAAAAAAGTTAGATTGATATATATGTTTGAAAAACAATGCCATCATTTCTTCCCACACTAAAAGTTTGATTTCATTTTTTTCGGGTTAAAGAATTCCAATATATAAATAAATGAAAATTTATCTCAAACATTTAACAGTTCTATTATATTTTAATTAATGACTTCTCGAAAATGTCAAATCATTAAAACTATAACATAAATCAAAAAAATGCATTCAATAAAATATATTCCATCCCTTAAATTTTCACATCATTTCTTGAACTGAATTGATAACTTATTATCTTAGTCATTTCCATACATACATGAATAAATTATTAGGTACGGATTGCGAAATTTCTGATACACGACATTCTCGTTCGTTTCAAACTTTCTTGAACAATGAAATTTAAATGTTAATGCCGAATGATCATCGGTTGGTGATATTTCATGTGTAAATTTAATATTTCAATATTTGAAATCATGTCAATGCACGTACAAACGAGAATGATAGGAATGTTCACGAAAAAATGCAGCATTCAGAAAAAAAATAAAGCACAGAAAGATGAAATCTTTGAACATCATTTTAATTTTGCGATAATATAATTAT